ATTCAAGGTTCATCAAAAACTGATGGTGACAGCAAACACCAGGCCTCTGGCCCCAGACCCTGTGCTTATAACCAGGGACAGGGATAGCACTTTTGTGACACCAGGAGAGCCTTCGTAGAGAATCAGAACTGAGGGGCAACATTCCTCTCACCAAATGCAGGCTCCCTTTCGCACCCCAGCTCACCCTGGCCATGGGCGTCAAAATGAAGCTGGTCCACTCCAGGCCACCAGAGGTGCTGACAGTAGCCATATGCCAGGTGAAGGCCTCTGCTGCCAAGTTCAACACTAAGCAAAGACTCCACACTCACAGGCCAGCAAGCTCCTTAGGAACAGGCCATTAGGGGCACCTGGGTGGCTCAGTAAGTTGAGCATCTGCCTGCGACTTAGGCTGTGATCCTGGGGTCCTGGAATTGAGCCCCATGTCAGGCTCCCTGCTCATCGGGGAATCTGCTTCTCCCTCTCCCCTTCCCCCTCCCACTGGCTGTGCCCTCTCTCTCTCTATCTCAAATAAATAAAACCTTAAAGTGGTGGGGGGGGGGCACCTGGGTGGCTCGGTTGTTAAGCATCTGCCTTTGGCTCAGGTCATGATCCCAGGGTCCTGGGATTGAGCCCCACATTGAGCTCCCTGCTCAGTGAGAAGCCTGCTTCTCCTTCTCCCACTCACCCCTCCTGCTTATGTTCCCTCTCTCTCACTCTCTCTCTCTCTCTGTCAAATAAATAAATAAAAATCTTAAAAAAAAAAAAAAAAAAGACAGAAAGAAAGAAAAGGAACAGGTCATTACATTAGGTCCTGCCCAGTGACATCCACAGGCCACCTGATGGAAAGCCTATTCAGTGGCATTGAGTGTATTTGGACCTGTCTGAATAGTTGTGGGTTTTTTTGTTTTTGGGTGGTTTTTTTTTGGCAAATGGCCAAGAAATGATTTCTTTACCACTCCAGGGACAACATCCAGCCACCCAGCTGCCCCCCCACTGTCTGACATGGCTTATTACAGATCACTGATTTCTCTCCGTTGGGTTGTGTGATTCCCACCATTGCCCACACTTCTGATAGGAATTGTCTGTTCCATGTTATTTATATGAATGAATGTGCAGACAAACCCCAGACTCTTAGAAAGGGCCATCTTGCTGGTGAGCAGGCCCTGGAGAGAGCTGGCTGGGTATCAGAGCCCCAGGCTGGGACTGCTGGGGGCTACTGGTGGGTGTGCTTTCTTCTAGGGGAGCTACCTATGACCACTGCTTTGCTGGCAGCTAGAGTGGTAAAGGCAAGGAGGGCTTCTTGCTGGAAGAAAACATGTTGATAGAGACACAGGGCTCTTAGCCGAGCCCTGGGAGTTGGCCTTTCCAAGCCTCCATCTCCCAATGTGTAAAATGGGTAGCACCCCTGTTTGCAGCACAGACATGCCCTGCAGGCTTCTCGGATTCGGGGTCTAAGAGGTTGTTTGTGTCAGGCTAACAGAAGTTTCACAGGACAAGGGGGTGATGTGCTAGCAATGATTCCAAAGCTGCCCCTGGCTTCATTTGCCCTAGGGGCCCAGCAGCCTGCTTGAACTGCACAGGATGGTGCCCAACCCTGGCTTACCACCTTTGGGGCCCTCAGCAACAGCTAATGACACCAAGTGGGCAGAGTCACAAGGGAACTGGGTGGCAGGGGGAACCCCATCCAGGCCAAGGAGGAGAAGAATGGGGCCATAGCTGGTGTCCAAGCCATGCACACACACCAAGGGCCGGGGGGTAGGGGAATGGGCAGGAGAGGCCCTAAAGGCCAGACTGAGGGGCTGGGACTTTATCCTGGTACAGGGTGCATAGCCAGACATGTGCTGCAGGAAGGTGAACAGGGGTATGGGGGTGGGAGAAGTCAGGGGAGCTTCCGGGAAGAAGGGGTCTTCAGCTCAGCTGCAGAGGGTGAGTGGAACAAGGAAGACGCAGAGGTGGGGCAGAGAGGTGCACCCATGGCACTCATTCCTCCCAAACTCACACTCACGTGGTTTCAAGAGTTACTGCCCAAAACAGCATGTTCCTTTTGCAATGCTCTGTGCTTTGAGGTATCAGGACACTGCTCTGCCCACTTGGGATGCAGAAATGCATGTGCCGCAGTGACAGTAGCACCATGGGCTCTGAGGCCCCAGGGCCCCACCCTTCCCACGCACCATCTCCTGGCTTTGGGCCCCCCTCAGCAGAGGAGCCTGGCACAGCGTCAACACGTGTAGGCCACGAGCACCCAGGCAGCAGTAGGGGGTAACTGGTGGAGCAAAGCATTTAGCCCAGTGCTTCCTAAGCTCTGAAGCTCGTGTATGTTTCCACAAGCCGGTCTCTGGTCAGTGTGTCCCCCAGGCAGTGCAGAATCCCGCCTGGCAGCACTCGCACAGCCACAGTGTCTACACAGACAGATTTTGTGGTTATTCTTTGATGCCCATCATCTCCCAGGTGTGTAAATAATGGCCAGTGTGGTTACCTGTGGTTTGTCCCAAGAAAGAGAGAGCAGCAGGAAACCTGAGCCCCCAGATGCCAGGGAATCGAGCAGAGCCCCAGGACGGGACAAGGGCCCCACGTGAGGGAGTCTCCTGTTCTGTGATCCTAGGCAGTAGCGATTCTCTCAGCATTTTGCAAGGCACTACCAAGGGTATGACTGCCTGTAAGGAAGTGCCTGAGTTCCCAGATTCCCAAGTAATGAACATGAGGCTTGGAGAGATGTCTAGGGTCCAAAAAGCCTGCCAAGAACTGTCAGTCAGGTAGAGGTTCATGTGGGACAGGAAGGACTGGTCAGTTGGGGCTGAAGTTAGGAACCCGGGCTGTGTGCTGAGCAGGAAGAGTGGCTGAGGTGGCTGTGGGGTGGGAGGGGTCATGTGGCCTGTTAATTGTCCCAGTGCCACAGAGGGCCTGCCCTCAAGGGACCGACCAGCGGAGGCCTCAGTGTGAGCGCTGGCCAGCACATATGCATTATTTCAGCATGTTGGGGATGCCCTTCTGCCCCTCCACTGCCTGGACTCCACAGCCTGCCCAGAGTTGCTGGGCTCAGACCGGATATAAGAGCGCCCCTGGCTTTCACCCCCAGGGACCCAGCAGATACCCATTCTGGCCATGTCCTGACTCCTCTGCCTGGCTCCCAATCCGTGAACCCCAATTCAACCCCCAGGGCCCAGCCCTTGGGGACTGGCCTGCTAGGTCCCACCTGCTGGTGGCCAACCCATCCCCCACACCCAAGTCCTAGACCTCTGTCTGGGCTCTATCACCTGCATGAAAGCTGGGACCTATCGCTAGTCCTTAGGGCATGCTCAGCCAGTGTTTGCTCAATGAATTAATGCATGCGTGCTAACGACTCCATCTGTTATTTATCTGATGCGAAATTTGGGGTCAGAAGCACAGCCCCTGATTATGACATCATTCCTAAGAGAATTGATAGCTCTGTTGGGCTTTACAGTGTGGCTTCCAAGAATCCATTAGAGCTAATTACTCCCCAGTAGAATGTGACATTCCTAGACCACCACTTATCTCACATTTGGGAACATTGTGGGGCTCCTTCCAGGCACTGCTGGGGCTGGGGTTCCTGTATCTTGTTTCTACAGAAAGGTCACCGCCACCCCTTTTTCCTAAGACCCCAAACCACTCACTTTCCAGAGTTTCTGGTATTCCTGAGCTCATTCTAAACAAGGCACAAGATCAGTTTTGGAAAACAGGAACTCCAAGGTGTCTATGGAATCCCAGGGCAGCTTCTCTGAGGTGGGAGAGTCATGACAAGTACCTCTGAGCTTCCTCTCCCCACTCGAGCTGGTTCCCTCTCAGCACTGGTGCTGTTCCATTATGTACCTCAGACCGTTCCAAATCTCCAGGAGAGTAGAGTTTCACTGAGGCATCCTCCTGGACACCCCCATCTGGGGTGACCTCACTTAGGCTAACAGTGCTGCCCATCCATGCTGCAATGAGCCTGAGCTCCTGGCCATGGAACTTGGAGCACATTTCCCATCTCCCCAAGCCTCAGCTTCTTCTTCTGTAAAATGGGAACAGGAAGGTGCAAGGTCTGAACCAGCTGGCATGCCATGGCCACACCATCAGCACCAGCTGTGGCTTCCTTCCTCATTCCCACACGACTGGTGATACAATCTGGTCAGAGAGTCCTGAAATCCGACACCTCAGATCTAAACTAAACCAGTTCCGGGCTTTGTTTGGACATTTGGCTTGTTCGTTTTATTTTGAAATGAAGGGTAGCTTTTGCCATAGTAACTCACCAGCAGTCCTTTTAGAAGCTAGAATCATCGGTTCTCTGTGGAAACGGTGGGTTTGGGAGTCACACAGATGCGTTATGTTCATTAAAAACTCAGTCACTACAACCCATTTAAGGTCCTCAGATGGGGGTAAATAAGGGCCAGTGCCACTGGGGTCACTGAGCCTCCTGGACCACTGTTCTCACATGAGCCCAAGGTCCTGGCAGGGGCAGAGGGGACGGAGCCTTCCCCAACTCTCTAGATTGTGGAGCCTTTGGTTAGGAAGCACAGGCTCTCCACTCACAGATCTGGCTGAGGACTGATGGTACCATGTGACAGCACTGAGGCTTGGAGGATGGGCCAGAGCTGCTGGCCGGGCAGGCTGGCCACACTCAGGTTGAGGGAGGCGTGATGGCAGCTCGGGCGCGTTGAGCTAGCAGGAGATGAGGCCCTCAGCTGTGAGTACGGAGTTGCCCGGGTCCCTGCGGCCAACAGACGCTGTGCAGCAGCCCCAGGCCGCAGAAGAGGGTCTGATGAAGCAGAACATCCCCTTACAAAGACATGTCAGGGTGCCACAGGTGGGACCAGCCCCTTCAGGGGCCCCAGAGCCTGTAGGAGGCAGGCAAAGACAGACTTGGCCTGGCAGAGGAAGGACTTCCCACCAGGAGGGTGGTATTTCCGGGGCCAGTGCCGGGTTGGGCTTGCCTGCCACGGGGGGCTTCCTCCCACCAGGGCCGCCAGCCTAGAGCCTTTCCATGCTGCATCCCCTGATTAACGCCAGCATTTTCCTGCCCACAGAGTCGGATGGCAGAGAGCCTGCGCCTTTTTGACTCCATCTGTAACAACAACTGGTTCATCAACACCTCACTCATCCTCTTCCTGAACAAGAAGGACCTGCTGGCGGAGAAGATCCGGCGTATTCCGCTCACCATCTGCTTCCCGGAGTACAAGGGCCAGAACACCTACGAGGAGGCCGCTGTCTACATCCAGCGGCAGTTCGAGGACCTGAACCGCAACAAGGAGACCAAGGAGATCTACTCCCACTTCACCTGTGCCACCGACACCAGTAACATCCAGTTTGTTTTTGATGCGGTGACAGACGTCATCATACAGAACAATCTCAAGTACATAGGCCTTTGCTGAGGAGCCAGGCTGGCCAGTTTGCCTGTGGCGAAACCCCTGGGGTGTCACACACCCCCACTCGTGCTAGGGAGACCCAGCCCAGGGGCAGAAAACGGGGGAGGCCTGATGAATGTCCCCCCCGCCCCTCCACCTCCTTGGCCCCCACGTTTCCGCAAACATAAATATATATGGATAGATTGCTAGGTAGGTAGACACACACACACACATGCGCACACACACAGTCTGGAGATGGCCAAGTTCCCCAAAGTGTTGGAGCCTCTTGAAGACTTAAGCAGCTGTCACCAAGTTCACTACAAGCCCTTCCTGCCCCTTCACCTTGCCTTCCCGAGTCAGCCCCGCTCTGCATGGGAGGAGGGGGGGAGGTGTCCCTGTGGGACTAGGAGGAGGCAGCTGGTTCATCTGGAGGAACACCAGGTCTGCCCAAGCTTCGGACTGGGGACCTTGCTACTGACCAGAAGGGAGGACGAGAGCAGGGTCCATGCGCCTTCCCTGCTGGCCACGCCTACTGCTGGCCTGCTCTGTACCATGTTTGTTCTGGAACCAGGGTGCGAGGCCAGATGACACCACTAATCAGACCTCTAGCCACTCACAGCTCTTTTTAAACAGCTTCAGAATATGCAGCAAAAATCCACACAATAACAGGAGTGGCACGATTTGTTTCGAACTCGGCCAGCTGGGTTCCAGCTTTTCTTCTACCAGTCTGATGTTTTATAAATCAAACCCTGGTTTTTCTTCTCTGACATCCTTTTTTTTTTTTCTTTTTGGCCAAATCTCGTGGTGTTTCGCAGAAATACGGAAAATTTCAAATGCAGTTGAGTATTCTTTTTTAAAATGCAGATTTTCAAAACATATTTTTTTTTCAGGTGGTCCTTTTTGTGTCTGGCTTGCTGAGTGTAAAAGTTGTTACGTGGATGAGCCTGTCCCTCTGCTCCCGAGCGACACTGGGGCTGACGGCCACCCTGTGGCAGCCTCGTAGGGCCGCATTGTACATAAGCCCATGCAGCGTCCTCCTGTTTCCGGTGCGGTCTCTGCTTCATTTTTATTTCAGAAAATAAACGTGATGTATTTCAAGAAGGTTCTTCACCGAGGAGCGAACAAACAGTAGCTAAATGTCTTGGTGTTTAAAGAGTAAATTATTTGTGGCTTTGCAAGTGGAGAAAGGGGAAGCGAGAGATGGGGCCCCAGCCCCTGCATGCCCTGCACCCGAGATGGGCCGAGAGCTACTTTGACTCCTGTGAAGGCTCAGCCGGCGTTGTAGCCTGAGGGAGGCCCTGCTGGGACCTTGCACTCTGGCCCTGCCTGTCCCAGGGCCTGTGGCACCTGCCACCATGGAAGGACCTTGGCCCAGGGCTGCATGTAAATATGAAACCCCTGCCATCAAGAGGGAAGGCACCGCCAGAGCCCTTGCCAAATCTCCTTTTCTCTCAGCCTCTGTTCGGTACCCGTATGTCCAAGGTCAGTGTGTAGGATCACAGCCAAGGACTTTAAGAGATGTACAGAGGGAAAGAGGAGCTGGTGATTGTATGAAAGTTAAAGATTGTCTACTTTAAGAAAATAAAATAACCTGAATGAGCTGAGCCTCGTGCTGCCGTGCTGTGAGTGTGAGCGGCTGACCTGCAGGACAGTGCCCGGAGACACCATCCAGGCCCAGCTTGCATTTTCCTCTCCCCTGATCTACACATTCAGGCACAATCACTTTGAAATGAACATCAAGAATAAACAACCTTGGGGTGCCTGGGTGGCTCAGTTGGTTAAGCGACTGCCTTCAGCTCAGATCATGATCCTGGAGTCCTGGGATCAAGTTCCCCATTGAGCTCCTTGCTCAGTGGGGAGCCTGCTTCTCCCTCTGACCCTGCCCCTTCTCATGCTCTCTCTCTTGCTCTCTCTCAAGTAAATAAATAAAATCTTAAAAAAAAAAAAAAAAGAATAAACAACCTCAAGTGAGGAAAGAAAGTGTAAGAGAAGGGAGCCCTGCCAGGCCCATGTGTCTGGAGGGGCTGAGGTTTGGGGGTGATGATGGCTCCAAGACCCCCACCCAGCACTGCCCCAGGCTGCAGCATCCCCCAGACCCCTCCCAGCCTAAAGACACCTCTGCCAGAGTACAGGAGGCAGACAGCCTGGAGGGTGCCAATAATGCCCAGCCATGAGGGTGGGGTCCTGCAGGGGGTAAGGCGGAGGGGTCCCCCACGTCTTCCCATCTGCTGGCGCTGACTTGTGTGGTTAGGGGCATCTCCATGTGCTGGAGAGCACTAATTAGGAGTCGAGTAAGTGTGTTCACCCTGCACCAAGCACCTTACACATTATTTTAACACCTGTACCACACAGCAGGTTGTCAGCTGTGACCCGTTTTACAGATGAGAAAAGGCGCTCAAGTCAAGGTCAGGGACTGGTGGAGCAGAGAGGCGAGTGTTTCCCACAGCCTAGCCCTGCTCCTGATCATTTTGCACCCAGACAGCGTCCCACAGGGAAGCACAGAGCCACTCTGCACCTCCTCCTCAAATCCGGGACCTACACAAAGCTCTGAGTGAGGACCAGCAGGTGGGGAGATACACATTACAGGGACACAAGTACAGATCAGTCTCTCTCCCTTCCCCACCCCGAGCCCTCATGGGGATTCCCTTCACACCTTCCCACATCACCAAACAGCAAAAACCCAAGGGGACTTTTGTATAAGAAGAAATAGCGTGTGACTTAAAATCTTGGGGACTTATTTTACGCTTTTAATGCCAACTGTGAAAAGAGCAGTAATTTCACCATGAGCATCCTTCACCCAAAAATACATAGCTAGAAGGAAAATAGGAGGATTCTGCCTTCCCTCCTGATGTGCTCGGGGTAGGAGGTGGCTTCCCTGGGCCAGCGCTCCCAGTTCCTGGAGTCCGTCAGCCGACTCTCCCAGGGCCCCATCTCCACTGCAATCTGTCTGCACTCCATTTTTTTTTTTTCCTTTTACACCTCTGTGATCTGCTACATGAACTGCCCCTCCCTGCCTCATTTCACTGACCCCTCTGACAAGTATGTTTCCCATACTCTCCACTTCCACAACATTTCGGAGACCAAGTGCCTTTCATTTTTCATGTCGTACGTTGCCTATTTTTATTGAAGTGTAATTGACATCCCATCCTTTTAGTTTGAGTACTTCATATTGAGTACTTCAATATGTGTTATGAAATGATCCCCATGAGAAGTCTAGTCACCCTCTGTCTGTGCTGGTTCTTCCTCTGGTGGGACTGCAACATCCCCCTTTTTCTCTGCTCATGATCCAGGTATGTCTTCCCCATGCTCGAGTCCAAGATGGCCTATCTCTTGGGGCCCAGCCCTCCAGGTGTTTGATGTCCCCTCCCTCCCACACTCCCCTGCATGAAGCACCCATGCCAGGGCAAGGTAGGAAGGGGCTTTGGCCCACCTTCTTCCTCTACTGTGCCCAGACCATACCCAGTATGGAGAAGTCACCTGCTAAGCTAAAGGTCCAGGAAAGGTCCACCATCAGTCAGAGGGAAATGAGCTCTGGGACCAGCAGCAGAGGGGTCGGCCAGAGGAGGCCAGAGTTGGCAGGAGGGCAAGCCTAAGAGGAGAGGTCTACCCTGTGCAGGAGGAGCTGGCCCAGCCTCGCCATCTGCAGGTGACTAACAACAGCCCAGGTCCCATGATGCAGCCAAAGACTCCCTCTCCTAGGGCACACCTACCATGTGGGCTCTGAGGGATCGCCATCTGCCCCTATAGCTCTTGTGGTCACCTGAGACAGAGCAATGGGTCACTGACAATAATCCCAGCTCTCCTTGGTGACTGCTCACCGCATGGCTCTGGGCTGAACCTGGTATGCAGTCATCTGATTCAATCCTCCCCAGCTCCTGAGACGCCAAGATTACTGGCTCTGTTTTATAGAGGGGAAGGCAGAGACCTGGAGGGGGGATAACTTCCCAGCATCACATAGTGTAACAAGTGACCTGACCAGGTCTGGGTCCCCAGGGCCAGTGCTCCGTCTGTCCACCCTCCCTGGAGCCCATGCAAGGCCCTGGCCATCTAGGACAAATGGAGATGGGGTGAGGGTCTGCTGCCTCAGGGGCAAGTGCCGGGAAGGGCCACAGTCCCCCATGAGGACAGGGGGCTCCACCAAGGCTGGACGGCACCCTGGGCGCTCGCCTAAGAGATGAGCTGGGTGAGGGGTTTCAGTGCTGATGTAGGTCCAAGGCCAGGGGCCAGCTGCTTCTGCCCAGCGCAGGCACCAGAAGGACTTGACCCGCTTTGTGTAATGAGCTGTCCTCAACTGCCTGGGAATATGAAAGCCTTGTGGAGAGGGCTGAGAAAGACTGCCTGCTCCAAGAGAGCCCAGAGGGATAGCTGCTGGGATGGTGACCTACCTTGACTGGGCCAGACAGGGAAAGGCTCTCCTGTCTGGAGAAGGCCAGTAGATGGGGAGGGTGAGAGGAGACAAGGCTTCAGGCAGGTGCACCAGGCTGGGAACCAGGTGGACACAGTCATCGTTTGTGGGCATCATCCTTTGCTAAGTCTGGGAAGGGGGCACAGACTGTCAGGCTGAGGACATGCTTCGGGCCTGCCAAGGCTGCCTACAGTGTGTCAGAGACAGAACAGTCCCTGCACCGTGCTGTTGCCACAGCTGGGCCAGCAGCTCAGAGTTCGGTCCAGACTCACAGGTGCACCCAGTCACCCTGGTTCCAGGCCACCATCAGAAGGCCCAAGGGGCCTGGGCAGTGGCCAGTGGGGCTGGTAGGGAGACACTTCTAGGGCCTGGTGCTATTCGGCTGCCTCCCAAAATCCAGTTACAGAAGAATCCTCAATTTTGACATCAGAGTTCTCTCCTGTAACGCCAGCCACAAAACAAGACCCATTTCTGCGTGTGGTTAGCAAAAATGAGGGAGCCGACAGAGATTCCCCCAGAATTCCCAGCGGTTACTCAGGGCCCGCCTGGCAGGGAACCTGGGCTGGAGGCTTCTGCCTGGCATTTGCCTCTATAATCCTGCTTTCCCTTCGCCTGACTTGCAGCACCCCAGGGCCTGAGATGAGAGCCAGGCCGGGTCAGGCAGTCATTGGTCCTATGGCACCCCCTGCTGGTTACTCTGGGAAACCACACAGCTCACCAGATCCCTCCAGGCCCAAGGACTCAAGAGGGAGGACCTTCCCCACTTCCCCTGCAGCTATCTCATACTACAGAGGGACACGGACAGAGCAATTGAGGCAAAGTGGCTGGACCAGATCAAGGGCCCAACATGGTTGTTGAATTGATGAAGGAGGGAGGGAGCTAATTGCCACAAATAACTAAAAAAATGATCCTTTAAAATATGGCATAAAGGCTGCTCACACCAATATCTGTTGAGTGCCGGGCACGCAGCTAGGTG